CTCATCATATTTTTCAACTTGCATTTATTTTCTTTCTACCTTCACAGCACGTAGGTAAAAACGCTCTTGCATATCAATTTAATTTATGAGGTATTCCAAATATAGTTAGCTTCTGTTCAAAGATTAAAACTAATTAAAACTTTGTCTGCTAATACCCAATAACAGTTATCCATTGACTTCACCTGTCACAGGGTAAATTAAAAATATGCTTTATTGCGGTGTCAAGCCGCTTAAGTGTCCTATGCGAGAAAATGGTCAAGAACGCGATAAGAAAACATACTTAATAATTAACGAAATATTTTCAGCTGTATTTGATATTTAGCAATTCCTGAATAGAGACTAGAAAATACCGGTGACAAAGAAAAATTTAATAACTAATCAAACTGCAAGAACTCGCCACTTGGAGAGAAAAAAATCGAACTCCACAATATCACATGCAATTATTTTTGCCAGAACCTAAGACAGTAGAAACTAATAACACGTAAAAGTTAAATGTTCCGACTTTGGGGGCCAACGCAAGTGCTCCTGTCATTGATATTTCATTAGTCTGTTTAACTTCTCCTTCTGTGTTAATTAACTTTAAAGTCGGTTTAACTATCAAGGCAATCTAAAGCTAACGAAAGCAAGCTGAATATTTTTTACACTGAGGTAATTCCGATTTAAATGGATCTCTTCCCCAAGGCTCCCCATAGGAAAATAGTTTTGGTTGAGTTTGCTTTGGGTTTTGATCATTTTTATGATTGCAGTCACACGGGGATAATTTGCCCAAGGGGGAAAAAACTTGAAACCTGTTCCGCCGTAAAAACGTCGTTGTAAACATTGAAGGTTGACATAAATCGTTAACGGTCTCGACAGTTTTTACCCTTTTAATAAAACCACTGAGTCAAATAAGCTTGACAAGAGCAACTTAGTCCTTTATTATTTTGAGACTAAAAAGCCAGGATGTTAACTTCGTTCGCGCTCAAAAGAAAAGCCAATTTTAGCCTAAATTATCGCTCAGAAGTAAAACAAAGTACGGGTTTACTAATGAAAAATAGTTTCAACGATTTCAAAAGGATTAAGAATTCTTCAACACTCATTGATTTAAAAAACCTCCATGCGAGTGTTTCAAGGTGCCTTTGAATTTATTGAACGTAAAAACCTGAAAAAAAAATTCAAAGCAGCGGTCAAAATCCTGCAGAGTTTTCGAACTTTTAGTTCATTTTTCGCAAAGTTCCCAGATATTCTGTGTCTGGCGAATAGAGTAACTTGACATTATTTAATCAGATGTTGGCTATGCGGTTCGCTATGTTGGTTGCATTGCTTTGAGAAAAGTCTGGCTTTCATTACAAACAGCCAAGTTTTTCTATATCAAGTCTCTCATGGATACAGGCTCATTAAAACCAGGAAAGTAAGACACCTCTTCTCATTGGTTCCTATGTTCTGTTAGGACGTCATAATGTTATACGGATACTTTTTAAGTTACCGCGTTCCATCGCTGCGCACTTGTTCATACATGTGAATTTAAGGTGGCTGAACACAGTCTTGCGGGCGGTTAGCGGTAGCGCGTGTTTCAAATTAGACAAACAAACATTGCGGCGAAAAAAGAAGACGATCTCTCAAAATCTACTCATTAAAATTTTGTGATATTTGGCAGGATTTTTACTTATATGGTATTTTAAATAGTGAAAACTTTAAAATGGAAGCTGAACAGATTAATTTTGTGACACATTTAATAATTACAGTACAATTATATTATTGATTATCTAAAAACCTGTCTGTTAAAGTTTGGTCAAAGAAGTTTCAAATGGTAATGATTAATTATAGTAAGCTGTTTGTAAGTTTATAGGAAAAATGAGCGAATTTTGTGTAGACTGAGCAAAAGTGAAATTTTAAGGTTGTGTTCAATCGCTCATGCTGCCATGGAAACTACGAAAACGCCAAATTTTACCTGTCAGTCAAAATCTTTAACCAGTACATTTTTCACTTGCCAAGTTTCAGCTTGTGAGCTGCAACCCTTCGATTCTCTTGCCATGATTCGGCAAATGACCTATACTCACAAATTGCCAAAACTGTGTTCAGCCACCAACGATATGACTATATCGTATTTTTTTAAGCTTGTCCTATTGTTCCCAAGCCACCACTGGGTGGTAGAGTTGCCAGAAGACGAACACCTACGAAAAGGATTAAATGTTTTGGAATTTCCGAAGTTATTCTCACGGGTTGAAGAACCCACCGCACCTGGCGTTTTAAGCTGACAATTGTCCAAGTAAGTTCGACAGTACAAATCGACGTGACAATGAAAACGTCTTGACTGATAGAAGGGCCTAGGTTATGGGGGAAAGGAGGGGGGTATGAGGATAAATTTAGTAACTTAGGTAGATGAGGTACAACGACTCTCTATCCCTTATTATCATATCATTGATAACAGTACTCAGGAAGAAATATTATACTATCTACATACATATCTTCATTCGGCGACCGACCAAAACAATGCTAAAAATTCGTTGATTTCCAATACACTGTTTAAGAATAAAAATAACCAATGTGTTATCCAACTTCTTAACTTTATCAACAATTCGAAAGGTTTTTTTTTTCGCTTTATGGCTGCTTTGAGGAGAATTTAGATTCAACAATATAAATTGAACAATATGAGATCTTAATAACGATGATCTGAATTACGTCATCATGTCAGTCAAGTTATGAAATGATGGGTACATTATTCAGTGTAATTTTGGTGGCGGTATGATGAGAGGTTTTGAAGTTATATAAAGGGAAGGAGCCTCCTAAGCGCCACTGCCCACCGCCCCACCTCCAGTCGTAGAAAGGAAGGGAAAGTAGGGTAAATAAAAAAGCCTAGTAATGCTCTCCAAACCACCACTGAGTGGTCGAATCATCATTCGATACACATCTGTGAACTGGATTGACTGCTCTATAACATCTTCGCCTGCCTGTGAGTTCACTGCATCTGCGGATGGGCTGGTAATCTGACACCCTTCCACCGGAGCCCAATACGAATCAGTATGCGCATGATTTTTTGCATCCATCAAAACTCAGGCGCATAACATCGATATCGGTTAACTTGGCCCTGAAGTAATCTCTGTATTGAAGTTCTTCAGTGTTAAAGTAGCACGTTGCTCGCACGTGCGTTGAGCGGTTTGCTGTGGCTATCATACGTGGCGAAAGTTGCTCCGTCCTGATTTATGGGATAGCCCTTGTAAAATGGTTTGTCTGCAAATTCGTTTCTATTGCGACGGCTGAAAGATTCGATAAGCGTCCAAACGAATCCTTTTTCAGTGATGGCATCACAGAAGACCTGGTACAAGGATATAGTCGTTGGGTCTAAAAGTTGAGAGACTCCAGACCTACTCCCTCCGTTTTTCTGCAGCTGCTCTTTGCAAGATGTTGCTCTTCGTTTTGACAAAATCTGCCGCAATATTCCGCAGCACACGTGCAGTTGAACTTATTTTTAGCGTCTTCAAATAGCTCAGTGCAGGCCAGGTTCCCTTCATTGGCGCATGGATTCTGATTACAGCAATGGTTAATGAGTGGTTGCTCCTTTTCAGCCATCTTTGCACATGTCTAGTATAGTATAACGGGAAAGTATGTTGAAAGTGCATGTTGCAATAATATTTGTACATAACGATAATAATATTATTTGCCTGACCCTCTCTTTTGTATGTGTATAAATAAAATTATTACATATTTTCGAATGGACGCTCTGCTTTTAGATTTGCCAAATTTCGCTCGCATGCGTGACTGCGAAGTATTTCCTCTACTGAACCAAATTCCCTTCTTTATGAAGTGTCAACAATTTAGGCATGTTTTTTTTTTTTCAAGGGCTCGGCGCCCATACCTCCTTTTAATTCAGTCAATGTGTCAAGCATACAAACAGAATAATCAGGAAAGATATGTTTTTTTTCCCTTCCGTGTTGTGTTGTCCTGTCAGAAAGCCTCATGTCGCGAAATAAGAAATGAAACAGAAGATTTAATTGAAGTGAGTTAGAGATATTGTTCTTTCACCCAAAATTTCACGGTTCGAACAACATGTACCATGAGGGGTAGTTTAATCAAAAGTTCTCAATTTCAAACAAGAAGGCATAAAGGGATCTCTCACGAAACGAGGATGCTGAAATTTAAGAAAAAAAGACTTCAAACTACCAAAAGAATTTTTAACAAAATCAGCGTATCGCGACCGTTGACAGTTCAAAACCACAACTCTGCCCCGCACAGGGATGTTTGTTTGGTCGCGATACGCTGATTGGTGGATTTGAATCGACGCGCATACCTCAGATGCCTTTGGTTGAGATTTTTGAAGCGGTCATATTGAGAAAGCTGGTCTTGCAACTTCAGGATGGCTTTTCTCGAGAAATTTTGGAAGGATTGAGCTCTCATTCGGATGGGGCATGGATACATATCCGGTGGATGGGGAGCCGGTATTTTCGAGGTAAGAAATTAAATAGTTTGGCGTCAGTTCCAGCTTAATTGGACTGGGTCACTCGCCGGCGGCTGATTGCTGCCTGCCTTGTCTCCTTCTTTAGTTCTAACCGCCGAGGTCAAATATTCCTCTCGCAAAATAGCGCTTAAAATAGCACGGGAAAGCGGAAAAAACATGATACGTGACTCAGTTAACATTTTCTTCAAACCTTTATTGAAAAATTTGCTTTAAATTCTGCATTTTGGAACAAATTATAGCCACTGTATTGTTCATATGTATTTCTTCCATAAATAACAAAAGATCCTTGCTCAGATTTTAATCAACAACGGCCCCCACTAACAGAGGGTGGTCTGCCTGTGATGTAATTAATTCAAAATGGCGGATTCAGGAGGTCATAATGACGTCAAATTACAGTGCACGTCATTACGTCAGTCAAGTTTTGCTTAGATTTTGGAAATGATGAGTGCATTATTCTTTGTAATTCAGAACCCGTATCGCGAGCGCTTTTGAAGTTAAAGAGCCTCCGCGCCGCGTATCGCACTAAGCATTAAAAAAGCTCGGTCTGAATAGGTAAGTAAAGAGCCTAGTGACGGACTCCAAACCACCACTGAGTGGTCGAATCATCACTCGATACACATCTGTGAACTGGATTGACTGTTTGATAACACCCGAAGTCATCTTCGCCTCCCGGGGACTTAACTGCATCTGCAGATGCGCTGGTAAACTGACACTTTACCGCTGGCGCCCAATACGAATCACTATGTGCATGATAACCGTCCTTTTGGAAGAAGAAAGCCGTGCAGCCAGTGCAGTTATATCCTCGAATGCTAATGAATTCGACTTTTTTGCATTCGTCAAAACTCAGGCGCAGGACATCGATTTCACTCAACTTGGCCCTAAAGTAATCTTTATATTGAAGTTGTTCAGTGTTAAAGTTACACGTTGCTCGCACGTGCGTTGAGCGGTTTGCTGTGGCTATCATACGTGGCAGAGAGAGACGAAACTTGTCCCATTTAAAAGCTTTCTGATTTTTCGGATAGTCTTTAAAAAATGCCTTGTCCTCAAATTCATCTTTATTGCGACGACTGAAAGATTCGATAAGCGTCCAAACGAATCCTTCTTCAGAGATGGCATCGCAGAAGACTTCGTACATGGATATAGTCGTTGGGTCTGACAGTTGATACACTCCAAAATTGCTACCTCCATTTTTCTGCAGGTGCTCTTTACAAGATGTTGCTCTTCGTTTTTGACAAAATCTGCCGTAATATCCCACTGCGCACGTGCAGTTGAACTTGTGATTGGCGTCCTCACTTAACTCAGTGCAGGTGCCTCCGTGAGCACATGGATTCTGATTGCAGCACTGGTTAATGCACGGTTGCTCTTTTTCAGCCTTCTTTGCAAATGCCTAATAGTGCAAGGGGAGAATATGTTAAAGGTGTACATAATAATATTATTATTATTTGCACGACCCTCTCTTTTGTATGTATATGATTAATATTTGACATATTTTCGAATGGAAGCTCCGCCCTTAGGTTTTCCTATTTTCACACGCATGCAAACTCCGAAATATTTGCTATACTGAACTAAATTCACTGCTTTATAAACCATGTAGAATGTATGCATGGGTTATGAAGACGACTGTTCGACGCTCAGAGTTCCTGTTTAATTCATTCCATGCTTCAAGCAAAAGAAAAGTGACGAAAGATATTTCTCCTTCCATTTTGTTTTGTGGAGACAAGAAGCCTCTTTTCCCAAAATAAGAAAGTAAACAGTGGCGTTATTTAAGTGAGTACCAGATATTGTTTATGCATCCAAACTTTTTTAGACTGGAATCTTGTTTTAGTGACTATGACAAGGTAAAAATGAATAAAACCGAAATGAAATCTCGACGGAACACACCACTATGTTACTTTCTCCCTCTTTTTCTATCTATTTTCATAAGATTGACAGAACTCATAAGTTACCTGGTGGTTGAGGTATTCTCTATTCATATCATAGTACGTGTATCCCTTTTCCTCGAGAAAGTCTTCAGCAGCAGAAAATCTGTCTTCGTCCAGCAACTCACAGCGATTTTGTCTCATTTGGTACGCTTGGCATTTGCATCTCTCTTCGAAGCATTTTACATGACAGTCATACTTTTTGGACAGTGTATAATTTTTAAAGCTGTGTCCCTGCATAGCTCGGTGTTTGAAATTCATTTCAGCAATACGTCCTCTGCTTTGTTCGCATCTTCTATGACAGTCTGCGTCCAATTTCAAAGTGTAGATATCAAAAAATATAGAAACAATAAGGAAATAGTTCGCTAGTGACATAGTTGTAACGTTAACTATGGAACTGAATATTCTTCCAAGAGGTAAATTTCCTTTTAAATAAACAATCTGTTTAGAATAAAAGGGAGTTTTGACAAATGAAACGTGATTTGTATAAGAAAGGGAAATGTCATGTTATACAAGCATATATCAGTTATGAAGCAGTCTTCTCCAGCTTAATGGTAAACTGTTTGAACAAACCACCAACCCAGTTTGCGCTTGTCATTTCTCCCAGTCGGCGTTCTAGTGATTGGGATTCCAGGATAAAGAATCATTATCAGATTTTTCAGATTGCATTTATTAAAAACGCACTAAGACATTAATTTATAAGATACGCTGAACATAATTAGCGAATGTTGAGCGAAAAGTCAATATCCTTCGTGTTAATGAAACATTTGTCTACTAACACCCAACAACAAAAAATTATTAATAACCACTGACTTCACCTGTCGCAGGATAAATGAAACATATACGTTATCTTGTAAAGCCTTTTCAAATGTGGTAAAATGGTCAAGAGCGCGAAAAGAGAGCACGATTATTGCTGAAATGACAGTTTAAGAAACATTTTCAGCCGCACTTGATGTTTGGCAATTTTTTAATGTTAAATAGAAATATAATTCTATTTATTAAAAACATATTTCAATAATTCAGTAAATAAATAATCAAATTGCAAGTACTCAAAGTACCTCTAGGAAAAAAAATTAATTCGAATTGCACCCGAAGATATCAATTTTATTATCTTCCAGAGCTAAAGACGCGGCAGAAACTAATAAAAGTAAAAATTCAATTTTACGACTGTGTTAGCCACGCAGGAGCTCGGCCTGTTATCAATATATTTTACTTCTGCGTTTGATTTCTCCTGCTGTGTTAATTAACTTTTAATTAAAAAAAAGAAAAAAGATATTGATATAAGCCGTGTCACAGCAACATAACTGGTTGTAATTTATCCTGTGATACGTCCGCCCCGTAATATACAATGTACGCAGAGATGCTTCATAAACGATCGTATGCGGAACAGGCTGAATTCCTTGCGCGGTGCTTGAAAATTCAGTACTATATCAGCTTATATTAGATCTAATAATTTGCTTGCTATTTATTATTTATGCAATGTTTGAAACACGAACAGCGGTGTTTTATCACTAGTTAGAAATTCGAGCGCTTCGAGATCGAATTGTCAACCAGTGATAAAATTAGTACGGTAGGTGTTTTCAGCAGCTTTAACAACGGCCCAGGAGTATTTCCTTTCTGTAGAATTCGAATAATGCTTTTAAAACGTGAAAATTGAGAAAATGTCAAACAAAAGCGACCAAAACAGACCTGAAATGCTAGTGACATATATAGCTGTGCAAAAATTAAATAACGTTGAGGCAATTCCTTTAAGCCTAATCGCCATTGCTTTCTCTCCATTTTTGTATCTTAGTTTGTTATTCTTATTATCTGTGTGGCAAATAAAGAAAACTAAGAGACAAATTCTCGTTAACCTTTTAAAGGTTAAGCTTGAGTTTCTGCCAAAACGGTCTGGTCTATTTGACTAAAAAATACTTAAAAAATGGTTACAAATAATCTAATAATCTAATTTCGATTCGTTAAAACAGTTTTTTTTTTCGAAGAAGTTCTTATAATAGCAATGTGTTCTTTCAGTAAACAAAATAAAACCGTAAGGTTATTGTTTGGATCTAATTTGAAGCCCCCTGCCTGAAATTTATAGACCCCGTTGCCCATACGATCTAGAGAAACAACGCTTTTTACTGGATTTGATTAGAGTATTACATGCAGGATTTTGCAACCATATATTTTGGCGTGAAATTGAATTATTTCGATATACTTTGCATTTCTGTTTAATGTAAAGGTAGTTTACACAGCCGATATTGATAACCGGAGCACCTGGTTGGCTAAGATAGTTGTAAAATTTAATTTGATTTACGTTTAGTTCCCACCACGATCTTTAGTTATATGGCAAATAATTGATATCTTTCGTACAGAGGAGTTAAATTTGTACTTTTTCCAAAAAAGATAATTATTTTTCCTAACACTGATGGGGAGTACAATCAAGGTTATTCGGCATTTATTTTGTTTGTTTTTTTATAAATATATATGTATATTTTGTATTTAAAAATTGCTAACTGTCCAAGACAGCTAAAAGTATTTCGTTAACTCTGACTCAACTAATCGTACCTTCTTATCGCATCCTTGACCATTTTATCACATATAAAATGACTTACCAACATTAGGCATAATTTTATGTTAAATTTATCCTCCGACAGATGAAGTCAATTGTTAATGTTCTGCTAGCTGTTGGTTGTTAAGTAGCAGTCAAATTTTTAATAAGCGTGAACAAAATTGACATTGGAACAACACTCGCTATATAATTATATTTAGCGTATCTCATAAATTAATGTCTGGGTTTTTAATTACGTATAGTAGCCGGCAAATAAGCATTAAATACATCGTGGAAATTAATCTGGTGATGAGGATTCGCTATCCTAGAATCCCAGTCGCTAGAAAGCTGATTAAGAGAAATGACAAATACAACTGACAAAACTGATTTATTGAAACAATTTGTCACTAGCTAAGCTGTGTAAATGCTTATTTCCATAAATATCTTCACGTACATTAAATCTCCTTTCCATATACAAAGCATGTTTCATTTGCGAAAACTTTCTTTATTTTGAACAGATCTCTTAATTGAAAGGAAATTTCAACTCTCGTTAGAAGTATTCTAATCCTTATCTTAAGTTAGTATGACACTGGCGAACTATTTTCTTTTCGTTTCGATATTTTTTAATGTCTACTGTTTGAAATTGGCCGCAGAGAGACGATGCGAAGAAAGTAGAGGAAGCATTAGTAAAGCGGGTATAAATCATCGTGCTATGCAAGGACACAGCTTTAAAAATTATACGTCGTCGAAAGCGTACGACTGTCATGTAAAATGCTTTGAGGAGAAATGTAAATGCCAGGCGTACCAAATAACACAAAATCGATGTGAGTTGCTGGAAGAAGACAGGTTTTCTGCTCCTGAAGACTTTCTGGAGGAAAAGGGATACACGTACTACGATATGAATAGAGAATACGTCAACCAGGTAACCGTTGAATCTAATATGTCTCCCACTTTGCTAAAGGTAGACATGAGAGTAATCATTGCATTTCGGCTTTCATCATTTTCCCCCAGTCAAATAGTCAATAAAACAGGTTCCAATATTTTAATAGATTAAAATTGGCTTTGCACAGTTTTGAAAGGTTGATGTTTTGAAATACTGGTAAATAAATGCATCTTAATGAGATATTCTGTTTCCTTGTTGCTCTCTTTTAAGATTGTGGTGATTTAAACAGGGGCACCCAACGAGAATATAGTTCAAAACCACTTAAACATAGCATTGTTAAACGTAATTTAGTATTTAAATGGTAGATATAGGGATATTTTTATCCCCTAAAAATTTGTCATCTGTTCGGATTTCCTAACTGAAAGTCTATTGATCCGAAAATTATAGGGATCAAAACTTACCTTTTCGATAATTTCAGCCAGGTGACCTTTTTAGGGTAAAAATCCGTTAAAAATGGGCAATTATACCATTTTTTAGATATTCGAAAATCCAAGGAGAGGCAGCCAAGCAAGAAATTTTACAACAAATGTTCCGAAAATTCTAGATCTCAAATCGTCTTCCGAACAGATATTTTTCGAAAATTGACGTTGGGTGCCCCTGATTTAAAGTCTTTCCCCTTAAATTTCAGCATCCTTCTTTCTTCCGAGACTATGGTCTCTGGATTGAAATTAAGAAGTTTTGGTTACCCTTCCTCTTATAGGTGCAGTCTGTTCGAATCCTAACAATTTTTCATGGATGAAAAATATCTGTAACTCATTTCAAATGGCCCCCGTGTTTCCTTTCCTATTGCGAGACAAGAGGCTTGTTTACGCAAAACAATATGGAAGGAAAAACTATCCTTCTTGATTTGTCTTGTGCTCAACGCTCTAAGCACCGAGCTCTTTTCAAAACATGCCCATATTGTTGACAGTTTATAAGACAAGGAATTTGGTTTAAGAGAGTAAATATTTCGGAGTTTGCTCGAAACTTAGCAAACCTAAAAGCGCAGCTCCATTAAAAAATAAGTAGGAAATATTCATAAAGCACACTATAAGAAGAGAGGTTCTAGCAAATAACATTATTTTATAATGCATAAAGATAATAAATATTTCAACATGCACTTTTAACATGCTCTCCCTTTGTACTATATAAGACATGTGCAAAGAAGGCTGAAAAACAGCAACCACTCATTAACCAGTGTTGTATTCAGAATCCATGCGCCAATGGAGGCACCTGCACTGAGCTATTTAAAGACGCTAAAAACAAGTTCAACTGCACATGTACTGTGGGATATTACGGCAGATTTTGTCAAAAACGAAGTGCAACATCATGCAAAGAGCAACTACAGAAAAGCGGAGGAAATCAATCTGGAGTCTATGAACTGTTTGACCCAGCGAATATGTCCATGTACGAGGTCTTCTGTGATGCCATCTCTGAAAAAGGGTTCGTTTGGACTTTGATTGAATCTTTCAGCTTTCGAAATAATAATGAATTTGCGGACAAAGCATTTTACAAAGACTTTCCGGTAAATCAGGACGCCTTTTCATGGAACAAGTTTCGTTTATCTTTGCCGCGTATGGATGCCATAGCAAACCGCTCAACGCACGTGCGAGCAACGTGCAATTTTAACACTGACGAACTTAAATACGGCGATTACTTGAGGGCCAAGTTAACTGATATCGATGTTATGCGTTTGAATTTTGATGGGTGCAAGAAATATGAATTTATTAGCGTCCGAGGATATAACTGTACTAGCTGCACTGCTGACTTCGTCCAAAGGGATATTTACCATGCGCACATTGATTCGTATTATAACGGTCAAGGCCCAGGGATGAGAGGATGTCAGTGTACCAGGATATCCGTAGGTGCAGTGAAGGGACTGACAGGCGAAGATAACTTCGGATGGTATGGAACGGTTAATAAGAATCACAGTTGTGTATCGAGCAGTGATTCGACAACTCAGTGGTGGTTTGGAGTGCGTTACTAAGCTTTTTGATTAAGATAGTCTAAGTCAGACATTTTTGGAACATTTTTTTTTATTAACTTAATAATCATTATATTAAATGTGGACTTTCTAGTTAATTCATTTAGGCTTTATTACCAAAATATTACCAAAGACAGTGAAAGTTCCCAAATAAATCAGGTGACCCCGCCTTGAACCTTCCCGAACTTTTCAATGCGTATGATTTCAAGCTAGTGTTTTAAGCGTATGCCTTGCATTACTGCATTACAAGCACTAGGACTTATCTTAACTCCACTTCTATTAATTCTTGTTGAACGTGTTTTGTTGCTGCCACTTGTGTATTCACGACTCTGGGTTGATTTCCGCATATTGTATTGTAAATATCAGAAGAAAAAAAAAGCCTTAAAAAATTTGGCGTCTTTCGGTAGATTTATTTAAAATCTCGAGCGACAGGAGTACGATTATTATATAGCTGTTTTGGGTTTTGGCAAGCACATTATCGTTATAGCTAGCATGAATTATGATTCACTGACATTTCGCTAGACAGAAACAGCTATTTTAGTAAAACTTATCTCGTAAATCAATGCCAAGGCGCGTTCTAATTACTACACTGCCTTGGATATTGAATGTTGCTGTTCGATTGGTAAAATTCAGAAATGCACCAATGAACACTCTCCACTTCATTTGAAGCAATGTTTTTTTTTTTTTCGTGTCTTATTTTGTGGAAAAGAAGCAACAACAACAACAAAACAGACATGGAAAGGAAAAACTATCTCTCTAGATTTTTTTTAATTTGACACTTGCCGATTATAATAAGTTAAGGCAAGGATTAGTTAATAAGAGTAAATACAAAGTGAAAAAAAAATTACGTATATGGCTTCAATTATCCTAAGAGTGCTCAATGCATAAACATATGCAGAGCGAAATACAGATGAAAAGAATAGACGTTAATGGAGTTGTAACTCGGAGTTTCACCCACTATGTGTTTATCACACTAAAAATTCTGAAAACAGATTTCGGTTTTAAGGTGGAAATTTGAAATTCATGAACGTTTGGAGTAGCGCGTTCTGTGATTGATTGATTGCTTAGTGCCTGAAACTCCGGGTTACAACTCCATTAACTTCTATCCTGTTCATTTGTAAGAGTAAATATATATATCTTTTTTTAATTTCAAATTACATCTCCGCAATAATTAGTGCGTGAAGCACTGAAGTCTTATCCAACTTAACCGGAGTCATCTGAATATTGAACGGCCTTTGCCACCGCGGGCCAATTCACTCAAAGCAAATATAGAATAGGTCGATGGGCAGATATGAAATAGGATTTTGAAAATAACCACAGCGGGATAAAATGTATATTAGAGCCAGGAAAAAAAACACACACAATAGCTTGAACAAATTGACTACGTAAAAGTTGTGGAAAGGACGGCCAAGCCACAAGGAATTTGTGTCTTCCTTCATCCAGGAAATATTATTCCCTTACTTCTGTTAAAGAAACTTCCATTGTTCCTTATTCGGACCGGGCATTTTTTGCTTCCTGCGACCGGGAAGGGGGTTCTGAGCCAACCCCTCTATAACTTCAAAATTGCTCATATTACGGCTACCAAAATTACACAGATTATATACCGTAAAATTCCGAAAATAAGCCCGGGGTTATATTTTTCAACGGCCCCTTTTTGAGGGGCTTAGTTTTGGAGGGGCTTATTTTCGGAGGGGCTTATCTACGGAGGGAAATTTGCGTCTCAAAATCGATTGGGCTAGCCTTATAGTTGGAAGTAAATTTATCGTTTTTGCTTTGTTTTACTTTGTATTTGAGGGCAATTTTCCAATTACAAGCCCCCGGGGTGCTTATATTCGGAGGGGCGATTTAACGGAGGGTTTTTTACGTTACCGGTTTGAGGGGCTTATATTTGGAGGGGCTTATACATGAAGGGGTTTATTTTCGAAATTTTACGGTAATCATTATTTCTTCCATCCAGGAATAACTTGATTGACACAATGGCGTAGTGTGATGTCATTATTACGTCATTTTGTTGAGTTTATTGGCGGAGTCCAAATTCCATTAATTTTTCCTCTCAAAGTAAACTGGAACCATCCACCACCTTGAATCCGCCATTCTGAATTAACTGAATTTGTTCCATTTCTTGATGTATACAAGGATGGTTTGGAGCAAAAAAATCCGCCAATTGTGAAATTCCGAGAGAAATTCATACTGTTAAAAACTGAACCTAGCATCTGCTATTTGGTGATTGTACATTCGAGTTTTTTTCTCAAATCAGTCACTAAATAGCCTAATAATTAATTTGATAGAATATTGCTAATTTTATTGTAATTCTATAATCTGAAAAGTAGAAATAGAAATATGTATCTTTCTTCAAAGGAAAATACCAGATTTTGAAAAACATAGCTGTCGAAACTCGGTTGCCATGGTAACATTGATGTTGACGTAGGAAAGAAAAAGTTGTCAAGTTTGTTGGTCATAGCTTAAACTTTTTTGACACCCTGTCCCAGATTAAATAAGTTTAGAGGATTGACTTAATTTATGCCAAAATATTCTGGTCTATTTGCCAGCTGCGAAGAGCGCCATGGTAGACTAAGATATGTTCAGTTTACCTTATAATGAGTATGCCTACCTAGTAAATAAAAAAAAACATAACATTTATTATATTCAATTTTCATGAGCGTAGCCTTATTACATTTTTAATGTGGAATAACACAATATCAAATTTTTACTGCGGAAGCTAAGCCTGTTACTTACCCATTAGGATCCTGTTAAATATTTCAATTTCCGATGAAAAGCTGCCTTTATTACAGATTGTTTCACTACCAGACATGTTGGAGTGAAATTGAACATTAAGTATCAATATCCTTTTTCATTTTCATTCAAATTAAAGATAATTATCAAAGCAGAAGTAAAATATGAATAATAGGGCGAGGATCCCACGTAGCGATTCTAGTCTTGAAATTTGATTTTCATTTTTAAGTTTCAACCATCTTAAATTCTGTTTCCGGCCATATATATCGCTGGGTGGATTTCAACCTACTTTTCCTAAATAACTTTATATTATTTCCACAGGAGTTGAGTCCTGGTATTTTCCTCTCTTTCGCAACCGCACCCATGAAATTGGGAATGATGGCTTCAGAAAATTGAGTATACGTGTATACCCAAAGTGCGTTGCAGGTCAAATCATTGACTAAAGCTCCGTTGTTGGGTTCTTGGAAATAAATTTCCAATTTGCATGGATGAAAGTCAACCAATCTTTGCGGGGCATTCGCTAAAATTAAAAAAGCATTCTCCGGTAAAATCTTGTCCTGGTGCGGTTTTGATTGGTCATTTCCGAGTTCCAAAAACTCTCACTTTCAAAACGAGGCTAGGAGGAACACCTTTGTTGTGACAATGAGTTGTATAATATATCCTAAATAGTGGTCACTAGAAAGCCGACTGGGGCCGGTAAATAACAAGCAGAAACTGAGTTCAATCAGTTTGTCAACCTGCTGGATAATTGACAATTTTGATAAGATTTTACTCATATACTAAATTATATTTTCTTATACATACTGAACACCTGTTTTGTAGGAAAACTCTCCATTTAACAATATTCAACTCTTAAGGAAGAGTACCCAAGTCCATATTTCACGTTAAATCTATGGCACTAGCGAAGTACTTTCTTTTCATATCTTTATTTTTTTATATCTCCAGTTTGACATCGACTGCAAACTGTCAGAGAAGATGCGAACTGAGCACGCGTAGTAATGGTGAAATGGGTATGAAAAATCGTGGTATAAAAGGACAGAGTTTTAAAAATCATACGCTGTCCAATGCATATGACTGCCATGTAAAATACTTCCTTGAAAGATGTAAATGCCAAGCGTTCCAAATGAAAGAAAATCTGTGCGAGTTGCTGGATGAAGACAGATTTTCTTCTCCTGAAGACTTTCTCGAGGAAGAAGGATACGAATATTTTGATATGAACAGAGAATACGTCGACCAGGTAACTAATGAATCTTGCCTTTTAATACCCGTTAAAATGAAATAAATTGAACTGGAAGCCAAAAATTCGAAGCTACTTGACGTTTTGACCTTCATCAAGGGAAATAAAATAACTGTTTTTTTTTTAATCCGGTCGAGGTTTAGACCAATGATTGCATTTTACCTTTCCACATTTATCGGTGCTGATGGTGAAGTACAGGACGGTATTGTTTTTACTGGTCTTTAACATTCCGAGGTTGAAATGCATTTGGGAGTTTCCATTTTCTCTTTAAGAATACGCCAAAGTTATTACTTGCTTATTTAGTTTTTTAAAAAATATACATCAGCCTTATATTAGTTTTTATTTCAATTTTTTTTTCTGAAAAAACAAATTGGAAGGAATACTTAAAGCTGGTTTGGTGAGAGTACCTGTGAAAGTGAAACTCGTGATAAAAAAGGAAAGGCGAGCAAATTATGTAAAAACCAAAAGCATAGAAGATATTAGAAGTTTAAATGCTGAAACAAAGAAGAATTACACAAAAAAATGATTATTTCATTCCATTTAGGAAAAAAAATTCAGAAGTCAGAGCAACAATTTCACAAATCATGTATTTCGTTCAAATCGCTCAAACTCGACGCCGCGCAAACTTGACTCGCCTTGCCACGGCACTGGAAGCTATGATTTTTGTCAAATAAAATTTTGATGTGAAACTCACAGAACTGTGCACACCAAAAATATTTAAGGAATGCTATTATGTTGCGAGGAAATAGCCAATAAGGTGTGAGAAAACTCAACTGCGAACAGCAACGGTAATAAGTTTGTGGTTTTGTGGTTTGCTCGCGTGTCATGAACTTTATTGTGATTGGTCACTACACAATCAACATTTTTGAAATTTTTCGGGTGTTCACGGTTTTCTGAGTTTGACAGTAACATCGATCGATTGTGTGGGTTGATGTTATGAACTGTTGCCCGGCAGCCTCGAAAAAGGCAGAAGTTTCAAGGGGATTAATGTTCTTTGACCCGGGTACAAAGTGATCTAGCGGTCTCACTAATG